CAAAACTATATATTTAATATAGAATATATTGTATATATTAATATGGCTATTGTATTTTATAATAAATCTTTTAATACTTAAACTTTAAAATTATCAAAATAATTTTTTTCTTAACGGGTCAAAACGGGTTACCCACGTGTTACCCGCGTGTATACTCGTTAAGAATCTATTATTAACGGGTTCTTAATGAGTCACCCGATAATGACCCGATAAGTTATCGTGTTGATCCGAAACCCGTTATTTTCGTGTCGTGTCAGAAACTGCCGGGTCTACTGATCAGGCAGTGTCTAGGATTCTGTATATTACAATCCCTGAGTTCATAAACTTATTTCCCCTTCTTGCACTGGTTTCTTCCCTTTTTTCTAGGATTGCCCTTTCATTACAGCAATTTTGTTTTTTCATTCCTTTTTTTTTTTCAATGGAAAGTCATACAACATTTGTAAAAGAAATTTATAACGGGATAGCTCACGTGCAAACGGAAGAGGCAACCCATATATAGACGGACCTGGCCACAATTAACCCACTAAAAATATACAAGGAACGGATCCATGACACTAATTTTTTTTAACTTTTAACACACATTTTTGTAAAACCCACTTCATAATCTATTAATGATCTGAATTATCTATTTTTTAGAACATCATTCATAGATCATCCTTGCAAAAATGAATTTGACAAATCTAAAACCATAGACATTCATTTGTAGTAAAGAAAATGAACGAATATGGTTTAAGAAAGAAACGCTAAACTTATATATATATTACAAGAAAAATGGTTCGAGAATATATACGATATTCATTGATTGAAAAATGGTTTAAAGCCCAACTTTTTTTAAATCCATGGTAGTATGGAACACTTCCATTTTCTTAGCAGCCTAATATTTCTTTCAAGTGATTACTCTCTTTAAGAAAATATAGAAAATTTTAATCAAACATTCGAAATATAGAGTGGCGAAATTTCAAAATTTCAAACACCAAAAAGGACAGTTTATCTTTCAGAATTGGATGCCAATTAAGTTGATATACATGCATCTTAATTCCATGTTTACAAAGAATACTATTGATACGGTTTAGGAAAAGTACTATATATCTTTTCCGGATACCAACGTTACTCAAATGACAACTAATTTTCACTGTGCATGCATGAACCTCTAGTTATATTTTTGAGCTTATCTGCAAGCGTTTGATTAAATTTTTGAACTTAATTATCAACTCACAACCTTGAAAGTTAAGACCTGTTCATATCTAATGTTATCAAAGCTGGATTTTCTGTGTAATTTTTTTCCTTGTAATAAGTTGCATGATTTTTGCTAAGCCAAATTAGGTAGAAAGAAAAACAGTAGACTTCAAAGTTCAAACTCTTGACTGGAAATATAAAATGGTAATTATAATGAAAGGATAAATGTGGAATTTTTCAGGTTGACGGGCTGAAGGTCCACTCCAATAACACCGATACTGTTCCCACTTAACCACCTGCACAATCCTCAAGTGTGGGGTTTTATCACAAAAGGCATCGGTGTTAGTTAGAGTGAGATAATTCTATTTAAATTGCTTTACTTTGCTTTCCTTTCCAACACTCCCCTGCACGTGAGACTCCATTTATGGGTTACACGTGAAAATCCACATCGACAACCAATGGAGCCATGTCGGGACACACCCATCACGCTGGGCCAATGGGGACCCACCCAATCACGTGGCATCTTTGGCCTACGTGGAACCATGTCAGGACTCACCCATCGCTCGGGGCCAAATAGGGACCCACCCAATCACGTGGCTGTACGGGCCCGCCTCTTGGCTCTGATACCATGTGGAATTTTTCAGGTCGACGGGCCAAGGGTCCACTCCAACAACACCGATACTGTCCCCACTTAACCACTTGCACAATCCTTAGGCATGGGGTTTTATCACAAAAGGTCTCGGTGTTAGTTAGAGTGGGGTAATTCTATTTAAATTGCTTTACTTTCCTTCTCCTAGCTGATGTGGGACAAACAGGGGGTTCCAACAATAAATTAATAGTTAAATGCAACATATCTTTTTATTGATATTGAACAATTTATAAATAAATTGCAGGTCTTCCTCTGTTATTTATTTTTTTCTTTTGTAATATTATTTGAGTCTAGTGACAAAGACAAGTATACTTTCTTTTTTGTAATATCATTTGAGTTTAGTATTAAAGAACTTTATATTTTGTTTATTTATTTATTTATATTTTATCTTTGTTTAATAAAGAGCAGGTTTATTTTTTCTCAACACCTATAGTCGATCGTGTGCCACATGAATGATTTTCAACATTGATGTGGTGCACATGGAGGCAGTGGTGAAGCCAGGATTTGCCAAGGGGAGGGGCGAAATTCAAAGAGTGCAAGGTTTAGTCGAAGCGGTTGCTTTCACATTGGAGAGTGCAAAGTTTTGAGTCAATATTCATAGCAGAAAATAGTCTCTTCACCAAAATGGTTGTAAACAATAATATAAAAGCCAATGTAAGAAGCTTCAATTGGCTAGGTTTAGATCTTAAAAAATGTTAGGTGCTAGTCAAACAGCGGACTGTGACCTAGCAGCTAGGTGCCTAGGCAAGATCTAGAAAAGAGCCTAGATGGATTTAAATTATCATAAAATAAGCATTAAACAAGATTTACATTGTTTGGAGGAGGATTTATGCACTGTTTCTTATAGTACCATTCCATTGCCACTAGGTATGCCAAAATTGCTTCAAGTTTTAACACAACCTACAAACCCAGAGACTAAATCATAAGCTGTTATAGCACATACTACATTTACATTGTTCTCCAACATTTTAATGGTGCTCCCAGTTACCTCCAACTGATCAAATGGTATCCAAGAAAATAAAACTTCGAAAATCGCAACAGCATAATAAAAGGACCAAACTTTCTAAATTCCAAGGATCAAGTGGAGAATGCAGATGGATTCATTGCAAATACTAGAACACATTTAAATCTACAGACCCACATAAATAATCACAGAAATCACACCAAAATCACCACCTAATCATCAAAATCAATGAACAATCCCGGAAATTACTCAATGGCCATTAGCACAAATTGAATTTAAATAATAGCAATTAAATCCCAACGAAAAATTAAACAAAAAGGCAACATACTAGTAAGAAGGGGCCAAATGGAAAGGCGCGGGTTTGATGCTGGGAAATCTTATTTGTTAGGTTGGGAATTAGGGACGGGGAGGAAGCCAAGAGGTAATGGGGTACAAGTGGTCCTCCCATCATATTTAAATATTTTTTTTTCAAATTAAGCCCAATTGCCCAAACACACCGTTTCACTTACTTTTCCAAGATCGAAACGATGTCGTTTCATCCTGGATTTTTTTTTAAAGAAAAAAATAAAAGAAGTTTTCCCTTCCCTGCGCAGCTATGGAGAACTGCTGCAGTTGCAGCAATTGTGAGCTGCAATCCGGCAAAACCAGAGGGGCGATGGGGCAGCAAACCATGATTTCTGGGCATGTTTTCCGGTGAGAGGAGGGCGGACCCCTCCCTGCGCCTTAACAGCTTCCAGCCACTGCACGCGCAAAGTTTGTGTAGCTGCAGCAAAAAACATGGCTTCATTTCCGGCGAGAGGAGGGGCGGGTACTCGCTCCTGGGCTTCATTTTCGGCGAGGGGAGTGGCGGTCGCCACTCCTCGCCCTCACGTGGCTTCGCCACTGCATGGAGGACCAATGCTAGCATTTTATTCCTACAATTTTACACCTAACTAGATGGATGTATATGCAATTGACTTAAAAAGGAAAGTCTACCGATTCTCTAATATTATTATTATTATTTTCCATGCATGGTTGTAACTTACTAGCAAGTAGGGTTTTTGGTTGTTCAAATCCAGTATATAGCTACTTAAAAAGCCGATGCATTGATTGCCACCTGTATGAAACAGCATAGAAGCTTGACAAGTATATCTGCATAAATAGCCAGAATTACATTGTACTTGCAAATTTTGCTTGAATGATATAATTATTTTGGGGGCAAAGTCTTGGCCTCGAAGCCAAATCCCAGCAAAAGCTTAGTCACCACTTTAATCTTTTGCTATTATAGTGCATATTACAACTACGATACGAGATTTCTTTCCAAACATGAACAATAAGCATTAACTCAAACCCTTAATAAAAAGGAGTTGATGTCTCCAAATATTTTCATCAAACCCAAAATTTCTTTTCTAATTATTTCATGAGATGGCAGAAGAATATCAAAGCCCTTCGGAAGCCTCTAACATCTTAGCCGCCTTAGATGGCACTCTGCCACCAAAAAAAGAGAGCCCTCCTCCTGATCTTCCTGACCAAAAAATGAAGATGAAAATGAAAGAAAAAGTCATTATCGATGATTCTGATGATGAACAACCCAAACCCAAACAGCCATCCCCAGCAGCCGGATCATCCTCATCACCAACACCAAGTTCTCGTCCCTTGCTTGATCTGAAGCTTTCCAACAATGACCCTGGTCATGCGTCAGGGGCATTGTCCTCGAAGGAACGCGTTCTGTTCAACCCTCTGAACCATGGTTCATCATCGAACCCGGGGGAATTAGGGTTATTATCTCAACGCAATGAGCCAAGAGACGAGAACCTGCGTGGTGGTGATGGGAAAACACCCCAAAGTAGGGTTTTCACATGGAACTTTTGCAAGAGAGATTTCTCTATTAACTGTACAAAATCAAAAAATTCTTATGAATGAATAGCCTAAAGAAATCAAAGAGAGAGAATGATGAGAGAAAGAGACTTCTCAGTTATATTGTTCTAACAAAAAATGATTACACCACACCCATCTAAGTCTCCAAAACAATGGTTATATAGAAACTAGATTGAGCAAAATTACAACATTGCCCTTCTAACTAATTCTTATCTCCTAACAACCCTAACACTCACAAGCTTGACACTTGTCATTTCTTACAACCAATCCTAACCAATTCTAACTATCTGGTTAATACTCCCCCCTCAAACAAAATTGGGATCTCCCAAGTTTTGTTTGCAGAGACACGACATCCTAACAATGACTGGTTGAGGTTGTTGAGTTGTTGGATTCTGTAATAGAAACTGATGTATTTGGAGAATGTTCCTGTTCGTCATCAGATACTCCAAGATGAAGATTATTGCAGTGTTGAATAAACACTGGACTGTGGATACCTTTAGTGAACACATCCGTGACCTGCTCATTCGTGGGAATATATTGAGCATGGAGATCATCATTTTGAAAATGATAATCAGTGTCCAAGTGTTTAATCTTGGAATGAAACACGGGATTGAAGCATAGCGCCAAGGCTGAAAGATTATCACAATGTAGTGTAGTGTAGGAGGCTGAGTAAGAACTTGATGAACATCTCGAAGAACAGATCGAATCCAGAACACATTTGCAGCACAGTGTGCCAAGGCTTTGTACTTGGCCTTTGTGGAACTTTGAGATACTGTGGACTGCTTCTTTGACTGCCACGATATCGAATTTGAACCCAAGTAGACCACATAACCAGTAATGGATCTTCTCGTATTGATGTCAGTTGCCCAATCAGAATCTGAGTAAGCATTAAGTTGAAAATTCGAAGATGGAGTATATTGCAAACCATAATCTAATGTGCCCTTAAGATACCGCATAACTCTCTTCACCAAATGCAAATGTGAATCAGAAGGATTAGTCATATATTGACACATTACATTGACAGAGTGTGCAATATTCAGTCCAGTAAATGTCAGGTACTGTAATGCACCAACCAAGCTCCTATAATGTGTAGGATCCGATAATGGTGTTCCCTCAGTTGTCAATAATTGCGAATGAGGTTTGGAAAGTGTTGTGGTTGGTTTACAGTGCTTCATTCCAGCCTTTTTTAGCAACTCCTTAGTGTACTTTGACTGATTCACAAACAAAGAACCATCTGCATTATAATGAATTGAAGTCCCAAAAAATATGTCAGTTTGCCCATATCTTTTAAGTCAAAGACATCTGCAAGGCTATCAATGACTGATTGAATCTTTTCACAATTAGAGCCATTTAAAATTATGTCATCAACATACAAGAGAAGCAGAATGACATCACTCCCATCCACCTTTATAAAGAGACTCGTATCAAACATTGAAGTTTTGAAACCAAGTGCAGGTGATAGGAGCATATTTATGCGACTTAGTTAGCTTGTTTTCTTGCATTTTCATGGCTAGTTTCAGTTTATTATAGTGATTTAAGCTATTTTTGTGTGTTTTCAGGTTCAAATGACAAAGTTGGCAAGAAAGTGCAATTTGGAGCATTTTGAAGCAGTTTTGGGCCAAGAATGGATAGCATGTGAATGGAGCAAGGTGGATGGACGTTTTTGAAGTTCAAGAGGCTAGGAATATGCTGAAGAGATGAAGAAAATAAATTCAAGACAAAGAAGATAAGGAATCAGCTAAAAAGAAGGAACATTATCCAAAACCTTATCTAACTTTATCTTATCCAAACTAACCTTATCTTATCTTATCCTATCCTAATCCTATCCTACGTTAATTATAGCTGCAAGGGGGACTTATTTTCAGATTAGGATACCTACAAATCAGGTTTCTAGAAGCAAAACCTTATCCCTAAATTGGTGCCGCACCTAGCCCTTCTAGAAGCTCTATTTCCTGATGCAAAGATTACTCATTTTCCTCCCTGGAATCTGATGAGAAGTGTCCTCTTTCCTTGCTAATTTGGAGTCCTAATTCCCTTCCTTCTCAGCTTATGCCGACCTTCCCTCTCCCTATAAATACATTGTGCTACAACAATTGAAAATTCACCCACCTCTCACCACAAATTCGCACCATACATCCATCATACTCAGAAATCCCTTTTGTGCCGCAGCTTTGCAAGGAGAAAGGAGAGGAGACCCTTTGCTGTGCCCTGCCATTCAAGGCCCTTGGATTGCTAGAGCATTCTTAGGTGTTTTCTATCTTTTATTTTAAATGTTTAATTTAAGTTATCTTTGTTTAATTGCGAACATGAGGAACTAAACTCGTTTTGGCTAGAGGCGAATTCAAAGCCATGAACATATATTGTATATGAATTGATTACTTTCAGTTATTATTCCATGAACCGTGAATGCAATTTGCTTAACTGTTTGATTCAGAACTTATTCTTGTATGTTGATTAAGGATGCATACTTAGTTTGCATGCATGAATTTGATGCTAAAATATAAGGGAGTTTCACCTAATAGTTATGAACTTATATTTACAAGTAGTGGAGGTCACTGGTCATGATCGTGTTAAGTGAATTCCTGGCAGGAGTATCATGTTGTTCATAGTTACGAATGCCTTGTCAATGCTTATGATTTTCATAAAACTTAATGATCTTTGATATGTATATCATGATGTTCGTGTAGAGGACTTGATAAGAATAATTTGGTTGCGACGCTGAGTCCAATTCAATGAACTTAGGAAAATCTGAGGGTTAATTAGTGCTGTTCACGGTTAATCTGGGGCATTGTCATTCATGGTTTATAGGAAGAGTAACTAGAAATCGATTCATATGCATATGTGTCGTGTGTGGAGAAGGACCCTCTAGCTAGCCATTCACCTTTTTAAACACCCTAAATTCGTAGCAATTAGTTTAGTAACTTAGTTTAAGTTTTAAATTTGTCAAAAACAAAACCCCCCCTTATAATTCGTGTTTTTAGGTTAGAATCTGTCCAATTGGTGTCTTTTTAGTTTAAAATTCGTCCATAGTCATCCTTAGTGTTAGTTTTGAGTCAATTTGTTTGTTTTGTGTAGTTTTTAGTATTTTGAGTCAGTTTTGAGTCATAGGAGTCTAGTTTAGTGTTTTTAAGTCTAGTCTAGTAAAATTGAGTCTAATTTGAATAGATTAGCAGTCCCTCCTAATCCCCAGCCTAGAACGATCCCTATTTATCCATACTACAATTGTAAAAAAAAGGGTTTAGTTTGTGTGCTAGTTCAATTTCACATCAAATTTTGGCGCCGTTGCCGGGGATTAGCAACATTGCTAATCTCCCTTTGTTTAATTTCGTGTGTTTTGCTTTGTGTTTTGATTTCTGTTTTGTTTTTTTTTGTTTTAGGTACTAGTTTATGACTCGGAGTTCTCAACCTGTTCGTGCACATATCTTGGAGTTTGACGATGATTTTGAACGCACTTTGAAAAGAAAGAGGAAGTAGCCAGAACCTAATCCACCTAGTTCTAGCTCTGAATCCGAGTTTGAAGAAGAGGAAGAGGAAGAACAAGCCATGGCTGTGGATAATCGAACAATCAAGGAACTCTCCGCCTTGGGATTGGACAATGTTGTGCCTCTTTGCATTCAATACCCTACAACAGCTCAAGGCAAGACTGATGAGTTCGAATTGAAGTCTAGCTTGCTGCATCATATTCCCAAATACCATGGATTAGCCATGGAAGATCCGAACAAGCATTTGAAAGAATTTGAAGTTGTTTGCTCAAGCATGACGCCAATCAACGTAGATGGGAACATTTTGAAGATGAAAGCCTTTCCATTCTCTCTATTTGAAAAGGCTAAGGATTGGTTATTCGAATTGGCACTTGGAACTGTCACTTCTTGGGAAAGCATGAAAAGAGAGTTTTTAGAGAAATTCTTCCCAACTTCAAGAGTCATTCTTTTGAGGAAGAAAATTTGCGGAATTCAACAAAGCCAAGACGAATCATTTCCAACATATTATGAACGTTTCAAGGCTTTAGTTGCATCGTGCCCTCAACACCAAATGAAGGAAGAACTTCTAATTCAATATTTCTACGAAGGACTACTTCCAATTAAGCGACAAATGCTAGATGCCTCCGCAGGTGGTGCGTTGGTAGATAAAACACCAATTGATGCAAAGATCTTAATTGCAAATTGAGCCTTGAATGCACAACAATACGAAGGAATTAGACAAAGAGACCCCCCACGACAGACTCAAGTGAATGAGGTAAGTATAATTTCCGAACTTCAATCCCAAATAGCTAATCTCACTGTTCTTTTGTCACAGTTTGCGGAAGGATCAAAGTGCAAGGAACAAGCACTTGTGGCGTGTGCACTATGCAAGGACACCCCTCGAATCAATGCCCTAATTTGATAGAGAATGGGGGATAGGAAAGTGCCAACGTAATCGGATACCAAAATCAGCCAAAGTACGATCCATATTCCAACACTTACAATCCGGGCTGGAGAGATCACTCAAACATGAAGTGGAGGGAGCCTCAACAACCTCAACAACAAGGAGGATTTCGACAACCACCCCTTGGGATGTTTCAATGGCCATTCGCACCAATGCAACCTCAACCACATTCAGCCTAACCTAATTCAGGTATGTCTTTGGATAATGATAAAGTTATTCAATTACTCACCCCTTTGACGCATGGAGTACAAAATCAAACCTATGAGATGCAAAATCAAGCTAAAGAGGTAGACAAATTGAAGAAGCAAATGGGGCAAGTAGCGGAGTTCATGGGACAATTTAGAGAACAAGGCAAACTGCCTAGGTCAACCATTGTGAATCCAAGGGGAGGATTCGCCAAGGCCATCATGTTAAGAAGTGGCAAGGAAGTTGGAACCGACCCACAAACGTCCAAATCAAGCCAAAAGAAGGACGAAAAACTACAGCTTGAGAAAGAGGAACAAGACAAGGCCACGACAAGGGTAGAGCAACCTTTACTGCAGCCTTCTAAAGCTTCTCAAACGTCCAACACAGGTAAGTTAGGTCCAAGTTCGGTTAATTCTAACCCTATTCCTCCGAATGCGCCTTTCCCTCGCAGATTTATGCAATCTAGGAACGAAGAGAATGAAAAAGACATCCTAGAGACTTTCAGGAAAGTGCAAGTCAATATCCAGCTTCTTAATGCTATAAAGCAAATTCCGAAGTATGCTAAGTTTTTGAAGAAAGATTGTACAACAAAGAAACGAATTCGGGAGAAAGAGGTGGTACATGTAAGTGAAAATGTCTCTGCAATGTTGCAAAGGAAGTTGCCACCTAAATGCAAAGATCCATGTAGCTTCATTATCCCTTGTGTAATTGGTAATATAAGGTTTGAAAATGCTATGCTAGACTTAGGAACTAAACTCATTTTGGCTAGAGGCGAATTCAAAGCCATGAACATATATTGCATATGAATTGATTACTTTCAGTTATTATTCCATGAATTTGCTTAACTGTTTAATTCAGAACTCATTCTTGTATGTTGATTAAGGATGCATACTTAGTTTGCATGCATGAATTTGATGCTAAAATATAAGGGAGTTTCACCTAATAGTTATGAACTTATATTTACAAGTAGTGGAGGTCACTGGTCATGATCGTGTTAAGTGAATTCCTGGCAGGAGTATCATGTTGTTCATAGTTACGAATGCCTTATCAATGCTTATGATTTTCATAGAACTTAATGATCTTTCATATGTATCTCTATTATGCTGTTCGTGTAAGGGACTTGATAAGAATAATTTGGTTGTGACGCTGAGTCCAATTCAATGAACTTAGGAAAATCTGAGGGTTAATTAGTGCTGTTCACAGTTAATCTGGGGCATTGTCATTCATGGTTTATAGGAAGAGTAACTGGAAATCGATTCGTATGCATATGTGTCATGTGTGGAGAATGACCCTCTAGCTAGCCATTCACCTCTTTAAACACCCTAAATTCGTAGCAATTAGTTTAGTAACTTAGTTTAAGTTTTAAATTTGTCAAAAACAAAACCCCCCCTTTATAATTCATGTTTTTAGGTTAGAATCTGTCCAATTGGTGTCTTTTTAATGTTTTGAGTCTTTTTAGTTTAAAATTCGTCCATAGTCATCCTTAGTGTTAGTTTTGAGTCAATTTGTTTGTTTTGTGTAGTTTTTAGTATTTTGAGTCAGTTTTGAGTCATAGGAGTCTAGTTTAGTGTTTTTAAGTCTAGTCTAGTAAAATTGAGTCTAATTTGAGTAGATTAGCAGTCCCTCCTGATCCTCGGCCTAGAACGATCCATATTTATCCATACTACAATTGTCAAAAAGAGGGTTTAATTTGTGTGCTAGTTCAATTTCACATCAGCAGGCAGAAAACTTGTAAACTTGGAGTTCCAAGCTCTTGGAACTTGTTTTAGTCCATATAGGTATCGTTTGGTATGTAGACGGGACGTGATGGGACAGAATGGGACGAGATGGGACGGGACGGAACGGAGAGGGAGCAAA